ATAATAATTTTAAAGTGTTGCTGAGTGAGCCGCAGTATTACATGAGCTAACCAACCGTCACTCTCTTATCAATTACGATGAAATGTTTTAACAAGAGAATTTTTATATAACAAAGAGAGACATATTAATTGCAGAGAAGTTAGAAAACTCCATGTAAACACTCAGAAGAAAATTATAATCATTTATGATCCCATCACCCATATATAACAAACCTCAGCATTTTATTATATAACTCTTCAAGCTTTCATATGTAGAGATATAGATATTGATATCAATATAAATAGATATAGATATAGATAGATATAGATATAGAAAAATGATCATGATGTAGGCTCTTTGGTCTCTTGATATCTTCACCCAATCAAATGGAACGTACATCTCTTCATGTCGATAAAAACACTCCTACAGCGGCAGGCTTTACACCTGCAGGGCTCTCCATTGCGCGGTACATTTATTAGTTAATCAGTTTCCTATTGTTACACATTACTTGCTTCCAAATAGGACTGTCATGGGGCACCTGGGCGGCTCAGGGGTTGAGCGCCTGCCTGCAGCTCAGGGCATGATCCCTGGGTCCCGGGATCGAGTCCCACATCGGGCTCCCCGCAGGGAGCCTGCCTCTCCCTCTGCCTGTGTCTCTCATGAATAAACAAATAAAATCTTAAAAAATATATATATGACTATTGTAAATGCCATAGTAAACATACTTATTCATGTCTTTCCCAACAAGTCTGATTATTTCACTAGGTTCCTCCCTTAAACCGAGTTTTGAGTCAAGGGGTTTCTATGTCTTTATGGCTTGTGATAGATATTGCCAACAGCCTTGCCCTGCGGCTGAGTCCCCCCCACCATTCACATCCTTACATCATTACCCTATTTACATCACCATCCTTGTATGGATATTCTTCTCTCCTCTCATTCTTTTTTTTTTTCTTTTTTTAAGATTTATGCGGGGCTCCGTCTCATGATCCTGAGATCATGATCTGAGTGGAAACCAAGAGTCCGATGCTCAACCTACTGCTCCACCCAGGTGCCCCTTCTCTCATTCTTACCTGTGACTGGCGTTATCCTGATATCTAACAAATTTAACAGTACTATTTAAAAAACATTGATTTGTTTTATTTTTTATTTCTTAAATGTTTAGCAACGCTGAATGTTATATCACATGTGCGTCCATCTCCTAGGGCTACTGTAACAAAACACAACAAGTCGGGTAGCTTAAAACAACAGAAATGTCTCACAGCTCTGGAGGCCAGAAGTTCAAGGTCCAGGTGACAAGCTCTGTCCACGTCCAGCTCTGCCTCTCTACTCTCGGGCCCTGTGTCCCTCCCACTGCTAAGAGATCATTAGGTGGCTTCTATCCTGCACTTCGGGAAAGGGATACTCTCAGGCTGCCCAAGGCCCCCTCTGCCTGGACCTAAACCACTCAGCCGTCATCTCTCTGGATTCCAGTCACCATCCTAGGGTTCTGCAAAGTTAGATGCGTCCCCTCAGCTCTGGGATTGCTTAATCGTCTGGGGGTTTATCAGGCCCCATCCCAGGACTTACTCAAGTGTTTTCATTCATATTAAACTTTCAGTCTTCTACCTAACATTGATCATTAGCTGCATGCTATGTTTCCCTTTATTTGTACATAATGACATGAAAGTACTTATCATCTAAAAGCAAGATGTCAAAGTATATATATTCTATTACTTCAGTGTTTATTTTTTTTTTAAATCCACATAGGAGAAAGGACTGGAAAGAAATAAATAAAGACCATGTGGAGGGGGGTGAGGCATCTGGAGAGAGCAGAGCAACTAGGGCTAGAATGGAGTCCCTGCGCTGCCATATCAGCCTACCTTCAGCTGATTTATGAGAAATAAATGTTCATTATGTTTAATCCAAAAACTTAAGAAAACATGCCAACAATGGTATTTAAAATAGTAGGGTATTGGGCAGCCCCAGTGGCTCAGCAATTTAGCACTGCCTTCAGCCCAGGGCCTGGCCCACGTGGGGCTCCCCGCATGGAGCCTGCTACTCCCTCTGCCTGTGTCTCTGCCTCTCTCTCTCTGTGTCTCTCGTGAATAAATAAATAAAATCTTTAAAAAACAAAAAATAAAGTAGTAGGGTACTATTTATGGATTTAAAATTTTTAATTTCTCTATTTTTTATTGCGTTTGTCCGGTTTCCAAATATTTTTGATTAATTATTTCTGTAATGAAATGCATGTATTCATTCATTAGACAGACCTTTACTAATGGGTTAGTATACACCAGACACTAAGCAAAGAATTAAGGAAGAACAAGGAAAAAGATAAACATGGTCTTTGTCCTCGAAGAGGTTTTAATCTACGGGAAAAAGAAAAGGGGACACAGGACAAGTAATGAGCAGTGGCAATGAGCACTGTCATGGGTAAGTACAGGATGCTAAGAGAATACGTGATGGAGCAGCAGAGACAGTGAAAAGTAGGCAGTCAGAAAAGTGTCTGAGGTCCTAAAGCAAGTTTCAACGAATTTCAAAAGACAGAGCATGTTTGCTGATCGTAATGCAGCCACTTCTTCAATTAATAGGAACAATTATCTTAAAAATATCCATATTCGGGGATCCCTGGGTGGCGCAGTGGTTTAGCGCCTGCCTTTGGCCCAGGGCGCGATCCTGGAGACCTGGGATCGAGTCCCACGTCGGGCTCCCGGTGCATGGAGCCTGCTTCTCCCTCTGCCTGTGTCTCTGCCTCTCTCTCTCTCTCTCTGTGTGACTATCATAAATAAATAAAAATTAAAAAAAGAATGCTATATATTTCCTTTAAAAAAAAATATCCATATTCTGGGATGCCTGGGTGGCTCAGTGGTTTAGCAACGCCTCCGGCCCAGGGCCTGATCCTGGAGTCCTGGGATCGAGTCCCACATCGGGCCCCGCAGGGAGCCTGCTTCTCCCTCTGCCTGTGTCTCTGCCTCTCTCTCTGTGTCTCTCAGGAATAAATAAATCAAATCTCGGGGATCCCTGGGTGGCGCAGTGGTTTGGCGCCTGCCTTTGGCCCAGGGCTCGATCCTGGAGACCCGGGATCGAATCCCACATCGGGCTCCCGGTGCATGGAGCCTGCTTCTCCCTCTCCCTCTGCCTCTCTCTCTCTCTCTGTGACTATCATAAATAAATAAAAAAAAATTAAAAAAAAATTAAATAAATCAAATCTTTAAAAAATATATCCATATACTTGGAAAGTAAGAAAAGCATTTCTAACTAATCCATGAATCAAAGAAGGATCCATAATGGAAATTAGAAAATGTTTGAACAAAAAGCTATATTCAAAACTTGTGAGAGTAGCTAAAGCAGTATACGAGGGACACAGCCTTAGAAACACATGTACAGTTGACCCCTGAACAACAGGGATTTGAATGGTATATAGGATTTTTTTTCAATAAATACAGTACCAGGGCAGCCCGGGTGGCTCAGTGGTTTGGCGCTGGCTTCAGCCCAGGGCCTGATCCTGAAGACTCGGGATCGAGTCCCTTGTCCGGCTCCCTGCATGGAGCCTGTGTCTCTGCCTCTGTGTGGGTGTGTGTCTCTCATGAATAAATTAATAAAATATTGTAAAAATAAATAAATAAAGTACTATAACTGTATTTTCTCATGACTTTAATATTTTCTTTTCTCTACCTTACCTTATTATAAGAATATAATATATAATACATATACACATTCAAAATATGCCAAACACCTGTTTATATTATCAGGAAGGCTTCGGGTCAACAGTAAGCTATTAGTTTAAGTTTAGGGGGGAGTCAGAAGTTAGATGGAGTCAAAAGTTAGATGGAGGGGCTCAGTGGTTGAGCGTCTGCCTTCGGCTCAGGTCCTGATGGGGTCCTGGGATCGAGGCCCACACTGGGCTCCCTACGGGACCCTGCTTCTCCCTCTGCCTGTGTCCCTGCTTCCCTCTGTGTCTCTCCTGAATCAATAAAGACAATCTTAAACACAGACACACACAACAGTTAGATGAGGATTTTCCCCTGGGGGTGGGGGTCAGGGCCCCTAATCCTTCGTTAACCCCGCATTGCCCCAGGTTCAACTGTACCTACATCCATGAACTGCCAGAAAGCGAAAACTTAATCTGTAGTAACCGAAAGCAGATCAGCGGTTGCCTGGGTCCGGGGGTGGGGAGTGGGGAGAGAAAAGGTGGAGAGGACGGAACGGGCAAGGTTTGATAAGGCCCCTGCAGCTGCGGACCTGAGACTTGCGCTTCGATCTGGATGTCAGTCATATTAAGTGTTTTTTTAGGAGTCTGAAGGAAGACAGGGGAGGAGAGAGGGGAGGATGGGGACGGAGCCGATGTGCCCCCTCCAGCTCAGGGGGCTCAGGTTCTGCAGGGGGGGCTGGGCCTGGTACTGAGGGGCGGGGCCAGGCCGGGAGAGGGCGGGGCCTGGACGGGAGAGGGCGGGGGCCAGGTGGGAGGAGGGGGGTCGGGTGATGGGTGAGGGGCGGGGCCAAGCGGGGGAGGGGCGGGGCCGGGACGGAAGGGCGGGGCCGGGAGAGGGAGGGATTGGGGCCCGACGGGGACGAGGGGGCGGGGCCTGGGCGGGAGGGAGCGGGCCTGGCGGTGAGGAGGGGGCGGGGCCGGGCATGGAGGTGGGAGCGGGGCCGGGCGGGGGCGAGGGGGCGGGGCCTGGGCGAGGGGCGGGGCCTGGGCGGGAGGGCGGGGCCGGAAGGGGGAGGGAATGGGCCCCGGCGGGGAGGAGGGGCGCGGCCAGGCCGGGAGAGGGCGGGGGCCATGTGGGAGGAGGGGCGGGGGTCGGGCGAGGGGCGGGGCCAGGCCGGGAGAGGGCGGGGCCAGGAGAGGGAGGGAGCGGGGCCCGGCGGGGAGGCGGGGGCGGGGGCGGGGGCGGGGCCGGGCGGGGAGGAGGGGCTGGCGCGGCGAGCCGCGGGGCGGGGCCGGGAGCGCGGAGCCCGGCGTGCAGTTCCTCCTCTCGGGCGGCAGGGGGCGGCGCGCAGCGGGAGGGCGGCGGGGCGGCGGGGCGGCGAGGGGCGGGCCGAGCGGGGCCCATGTGGGCGCCGGCGCCGAGGGCTGCAGCGCGGGGTCGCCATGGCGGAGCTGCAGCAGCTGCGGGTGCAGGAGGCGGTGGACTCCATGGTGAAGAGTCTGGAGAGGGAGAACATCAGGAAGATGCAGGTAGCGGGCGGGCGCAGGGCGGGGGCAGGGCGGGCGCCCCTGGAAGCCCCTGGAAGCCCCGCGCTCCGCCCCGCGCACGGCCGCGCCCCAGGGCAGCCCCGGGTCCGAGCCGCAGGTGAGCAGCCCGAGGCCCGGGAGGGCGCGGCCGCGGGTGTCCTGCGGGCCCTCCCCGGGGTGCGGCGCTTCCGTGGCACCGCTGGACTCCGGTTCGTGGGTCGGTGCCCCCTGCTGGAAACTACAGGACGAGCTTGCTGCCCTCTGACCCCGGGCCACAGGCCCCTGGCTCTGAGTGTGGCTCCACCCGCGGCGCCCCCAGCCTTCCGTGCAGCAGGCGCCGACGGGCCCCGCAAGGCCGCGAGGCATCCCGCTGGGGCTTCCAGGGTGACTTCCCGTGGGTGGGCTTAGGCTCCTGCTGCCTGTTAGGAGGGCGCTGAGCATGGACGCTCCCGCGATGCACTCCCCGCTCCCCCCCGCCGCGGAGGCTTCCCCACCTGACCTCTGCCTCTGCCTCTGCCTCTGCCCTCCCTCCCCAGGGCCTCATGTTCCGGTGCAGCGCCAGCTGCTGTGAGGACAGCCAGGCGTCCATGCAGCAGGTGCACCAGTGCATTGAACGCTGCCATGCGCCTCTGGCTCAAGCCCAGGCCCTGGTGACCAGTGAGCTGGAGAAGTTCCAGGTGAGGAATATCCCAGGCAGAGGACCCCAGTCCTTGATGTTCTTTTGCAGGAGATGACAAGCATTTGTTCAAAACCCTTGGCTTTAATGTCTTGGTGACAGTCCTGTGGACAACCAGTCTTCCCCAGGGTTTGACGTTTGGGGAAAACTCCTGGAGGTGGAATGCCAAAAGTATTTCCCATAGAAAAAACGGTGTGAAAAGGAGTTGATGATCCAGAGCCTTTTTCACCCACAGACATGAAATACAGTATGTACACTATTTATAAAGCTTTCTAAAACATGTATTAATTCATTCTTAAACTAGTAAAATCCCCAGGGAAGTGGAGTAGGCTAGTCATGAGGTGCAGATTAGAGCAATATCCTGCCATCATGTTGTAGACTTACCCACACGAGGCCTCCCCTACTTGCTGTACCCAGAGGGCAGCCCCTCGGTCACTAAAGAGCAGTCATTTATTGGAAGCATTAGGATCACTGACTCATTGATGCCTTCTTCACAAGCCCCTCTGGGGCCACTAAGGCCAGAAAGTATCCACTGTATCTCTCTCTTAAGAAAAGTGTAGCCACAACTTCACATTATTCCCTTTCTATGACTGCAGAAAGCACAGCCCACTTCTGAGCCAGTTTTTCATGACCTGAGAGTCAGAATTCTTCAAAATTACTGATGCTATGAAGGAGTAACTTATCCAAGATCCTGAGCCCGCAGAGGCTTGTGTTCACTTTGACAGCTAATAGGGAGGGTCTTTGACATTTGGATTCTCGAACGGCTGTATGACTTTCTCCTTCTGTTCACTTAGTCTTCCAATTAGACTTACTCTTCCACACTGTCAGAATTGCTCTGGCCACTCTCCTCCGTGGAGCTAAATCCAGTGGTCATTTCTCATCCTTCACCTTATTCAACCCATTTGCAACACTGAGGTAGTGCTCACTCTCCTCCTTGAAACAGTTTGTTCAGTTGTGCACTGAGACACCTCACTCCCTGGTTTCCCACCTCTCTCCTTGGCCACCCTTTCTTGGCCTCCTTTCCTGGTTTCCCCCTCTAATCAGCGAGCATTGGAGTGCCCAGGGCTGTCCTTAGACCTTTTCTCTTTTCCGTCTAATTCTCCAGTCTCATAGCTATAAACATCTATAAATATCATCTGTATGCCGACGACAACTACATTCGTTCATATCTCTAGACCAGATTCACTCGTGATCTCCCGATTCAAATATCCAACTGCTTCTTCAGCATCTGCACTTAGTCTGTCTTCCTTCACTGGGAATGTAAGTTCTATGAGGGCAAGAACTTTATCTGTTTTACTCATTGATATATTCCCCAGCCTTAGAAGAGTACCTGACACATAGTAGATAATAAATATCTGCTGAGTGTTTTTCTGTAGCGAAGACAGATATTAAAGAATCAAAATGTTTTTAGCTCTTAACTATAGCTGACCAGCAGTAGCCTCTAGTTACTTCCCACTTCCTGGGAGGGGCTTCTAGATAATTTATTCTGTCATTTAGGGCACCTGGTGGCTCAGTCGGTTAAGCATCTGCCCTCAGCTCAGGTCATGATGATCCCAGTATCCTGGAATCGAGCCCCGTGTCGGGCTCCCTGCTCGTGGAGAGCCTGCTTCTTTCTCTTCTCCCCCCTTGTACTCTCTCTCTCAAATAAAATCTTTTAAGAAAAAAAATCATTCATTTGCTTTCTTGTAATGCTTTGTCTGGACCCTCCTGGTACCACTCTCAATTTCAATCAAGATTCTATATGTCAAGCTGAAATAGGTAGCATAGGGCCTAACACATGGTAAGCAGTTGGTAAATGGAGACCAACCTTTCAGCCTTCTCTACCCTCTTCCTTCTTGCCGCAGGACCGCCTGGCCCGGTGCACCATGCATTGCAATGACAAAGCCAAAGATTCAATAGATGCAGGAAGTAAAGAGCTTCAGGTGAAGAGGCAGCTGGAGAGTTGTGTGACCAAGTGTGTGGATGACCACATGCACCTCATCCCAACCATGACCAAGAAGATGAAGGAGTCTCTCTTGTCCATTGGGAAATAGAAGTCTTTGCAGTTGGCCATCGGAACTGACAGCGGGAATCTATTTAAAAAGAAACAAGACTTTTGGTCTTTTAAGTGACGTTTATGAAGAAATTAAGGTTGGCAGCAAATTTGAGGCTTGTGTCACTTGCCTCTGGACACTGGTTTCTTTACCTTTCAATCCTAGAAAGTGAAGTGGAAAAAACTGGTGCTAAAATTTGGGTCAGAGATGGCACAGGAGAGTTTTTGTTAGCCTAAATTTCATGTGCTTGTCCTGGCAGTAGGGATCTCCCTTGTACTAAGCCAGAGCCCTGCAAAGTACCAGATTCTTCTTACTACACAGGTACCAACAGGCTGGCAGGTTCCTGTAACCTGCCTGGAATCTGGTGGTTTGCGCAGAGGTGTTTCTGTTTGTTGCCAACCTCCTGTTTACCAGAAGGATCACCAAATCGTATCCATAAGCTGTCAAACAAAATCCACAAGGTCACTAATCTAGAAGGGGGGAAAAAAAAGGTTTCTGGGTCTTGGTTTTGCTTGTTTTTTTATATAGAAGGGCATGAAATGGATTTAAGATATGGAGTTGGGAGAGGTAAGAACTTTGAACAGTTCTTGGGGTTATCTGTTTCTGGCCATCAAGATGTGGGTGTGCATTTCTTGAAATACACACCCCATCTTTCAGCTAGGAGAGAGACCCTGCAAAAACATGACAGGTGATGTTTCCATTGGGTATGGGAAGCAGATCTTCCCTCTCTGCCAGCTCCCATGATGGGCCCCGAGGCTATCTGCAGCAGAGCGACAGGACAATCTCACAGTGACACTTTCCTTTTTGAAGGGAAAGGGGTTTTTGACTGCATCATTAACCAGCATCCAGGAATGAACACTGAAGGAGGAGCTCTTGTCTTCTTAATTAAGAGAGTTATTAAGTACTGGCTTTGGAAAAACCTGGTTTTTATGGAACAGAATGGGATGAAAACCTAAACTCAGTATTGCTTATTTTGCCCCCAAAATAACAGAGTCCTATTCAGACAATCACTTGGTGACAGGAAGGTCAAAGGAGAAAAAGTAGGCAACTCAAGGGTGGGCTGTGATCCCTTTAAAACAGAAGAGGGGCAACCCCCCACCCCATTACCAAATGCCACCCTTGCCCCAGGACCTTTGCAGCAAGCCGTGTTCCTGCCCCAGCTCTAGCACCTTTTCATTTTGATAAAGACCTTACTGTCTTTTTACCAACTTACTACTTGAAATGATGATATAGCCTGCGTTTGGTGTCTCAAGGCTGTGATCTATTTTCCTAGTGGTTCAGTTTTAAAAAATAAATAAGGTTTAGTTTTTTCCTCCACTACGGCGTCTCTCGTATGCGAGCAGTGAATCTATAACTTTCTTAGGATGCTTCTCTTTGCAATGTGTAAAAATAAGTGTCTGAAGACGTCGTGAAGAGTAAAAACTCGCTGTGATTCAGACGCGGGACTGGTTCATTGTAAATGGGGGAAAACAGGACAAGCTAAGGCCCTGGGACTCGGAGTCCATTAATGTAAAAGACAAACGGTAGGAAGGATAAACCATCCATTTCGGGACCGTAGCTGCTTGTAAGCAGCCCGAGGTGGGAAGTTGGGCAAATGCCACCTGTAGGATTTTGAGTGCTAGGAGAATGAGGCTCAGTCTTTTATTCGTATTTAAATAGAGCCATTCCTGGACATTAGGGAGAAACTGAATTTTGGGAAATCATCCTCTACTCAGAATCACCGAGGCCTAAGACTTTTTTTTTTTTTTTAAGATTTTAATTATTAACGAGAGACACAGGCAGAGGGAGGAGCAGAGCGCCCGATGCGGGTGCACCGCAGGCTGATCGACCTTGGCAGGACCAGAGCCCAGCCCTCCCGAGCGCGTGCGCACTGGGCGCGTGCGAGGACGCTAACCCGCGCAGGTCGCAAAGCGAGGGATCCGCCAGCTGCGCCGACGACTTAGAGACCCAGCCCTTACGTCAGTTTCACCAATCAGGAAAAGGAATTGAGGAGACGACCGGAAGTCCCACCCCATGTAGCCCCATGGAGACCAATCGCTGGCAACGCAACCGGAAACTCGCGGGCGTTCGGCAAGTCCGGGGGCGCCCTCGAAGTATCGCGGGAGGGAATGTGACTTCTGCCGGCGTTTGATTGGCGGCTGGGGCCGGTGACGCTGGGGCCAAGCGGCGGGAGCGTGAGGGAGCCGTGTGGAGGCCTCTGCGAGCTCGCCGAGTCGGCGCCATGAGCAAGGCTCACCCTCCCGAGCTGAAAAAGTGAGTACGCGGGAGGGCCGCGTGCGGGTGGCGGCGTCCGTGCGCCGGGGCCCCGGCCGGCGAGCCCTCCCCGCTCGGGGGGCGGCAGAGCGGCTCCGCGGGGCGCGAGGACGGGGCGGGGCGGCGGTTTCCTTGAGCTCTGTTCTCGGAGTCTCCCTCCGGGGCGCCCGGGGGCCCAGCGGGGTTAGCGCCGCCCGCGGCCCAGGGCGTGACCCGGGGTCACGGGTTCGAGGCCCGCGTCGGGCTCCCTGCGTGGAGCCTGCGCCTCCCTCCGCCCAGGTCTCTGCCTCTCTCTCTCTCTCTCTCTCTCTCTCTTCTCTCTCTCTCTCTCTCTCTGTGACTGTCATGAATAAATAAAAATTTTTTTAAAAATCTCTTAAAAAAAAGAAATGAATAAATAAAAATTAAAAAAATATTTTTTTTAATCTTGTGCAGAAGTTAAGACTTGGATGTCACGTGATCTGTTAACAGCGCTGTGGGGGAACGTTCATTTTTTTTTTTAAATCAAAGAAAAGTGTTTTTTTTTTCCTGCATCCAGTAAAAATCCCCTCAAAACCGGATGTTCCTACTTCCGTGGGCCCGGGTTCGGGGACGCTGGGCCGAGCGTGTGCAGGGCCTCCCGGGTGCCTCCGCCGCGCAATCCCAGGATTTCTGCACGTGGTAGCGCAGAACAGGAGAACGGGACCCGGGGGTCGCTTTGTGAAACAGCCGTTCGCCCTGTGCGTGGGTCACGTCCTACCAGCCTCGTGGAGGAGTCAGACTGCAAGAAAAAGCCGTCTTTAGTAATGGTGCTTTTTTTTTTTTTTAGTTTTTTTTTTTATTATTTATTTATCAGAGACACCGAGAGAGAGAGGCAGAGACACAGGCAGAGGGAGAAGCGGGCTCCATGCAGGGAGCCCGATGTGGGACTGGATCCCAAAACCTTGGGGTCATGACCTGAGCCAAAGGCAGCCGCTCAACCGCTGAGCCCCACCCCCCACCCCCACCCCCGGCTGCCTTTAGGGGCGCCTTGGTGGTCAGTCGGTTAAAAGGGTCCGACTCTTGGTTTCATCCCAGATCCTGATCTGCTGGTGAGATCAGCCCCCGTGGGCCCTGGGCTCAGCCTGGAGTTGGCTTGCTGTGTCTCCTCCTCCTCTGCCCCTCCCCACTGCTCGCCTGCTCTCGCTCGCTCTCTATCTCTGGTTCTCGCTCTCAAGTGAATCTTTTAAAGAAAAAAAAATAGTTTAGTTTTACATTGAAATGCATATTTGTATCAAAGCCATTTTGGGGGGATCCCTGGGTGGTGCAGCGGTTTGGCGCCTGCCTTTGGCCCAGGGCGCGATCCTGGAGACCCGGGATCGAATCCCGCGTCGGGCTCCCGGTGCATGGAGCCTGCTTCTCCCTCTGCCTGTGTCTCTGCCTCTCTCTCTCTCTCTCTCTCTCTCTCTCTCTCTCTCTCTCTCTGTATGACTATCATAAATAAAAATTTAAAAAAAAATAAAATAAACTTTAAAAAAAGCCATTTTTTTTGTGCAAAAACTCCGTGTATTTTAGCTGGGTCTGTTGAAGTGTTTTTCGTGAGCCCGACGTTAAGAAAAATACAACTTATTTTGGAGTTCTGTCTAAAACTCTCTTCATTGACGACTTGGCAAAACCTTAGAAGTATTCTCTGGAAAAAAAAAAAAAGAAGTATTCTCTGGGTTCTTCAGGAACTGGTGAGATGCTAATTATTTTTAGCAAAAGAACCATCCTCTACTTGTAATCTTAGATTACCCTTTTCATTTCTTAACAGGGGCTTTTGTTTCTTAACAGATATTTGAGAATTTCACAGGATGAAACTGGTTTGTTTTTTTTTTTTTAATTTTTATTTATTTATGATACAGAGAGAGAGACAGAGAGAGACACAGGCAGAGGGAGAAGCAGGCTCCTTGCGCTTGGAGCCCGACGTGGGATTCGATCCCGGGACTCCAGGATTGCGCCCTGGGCCAAAGGCAGGCGCTAAACCTCTGCGCCACCCAGGGATCCCGATGAAACTGGTTTTAATAATAATTTCTCTCGGGATCCCTGGGTGGCGCAGTCCTGGGTGGCGCAGCGGTTTGGCGCCTGCCTTTGGCCCAGGGCGCGGTCCTGGAGACCCGGGATCGAATCCCACGTTGGGCTCCCTGCATGGAACCTGCTTCTCCCTCTGCCTGTGTCTCTGCCTCTCTCTCTCTCTCTGTGACTATCATAAATAAATTAAAAAAAAAAATTCTCTCATCTCTCGATTTCATGTATCGTGAACTCCTTTGAGACCGTCTTCCAAAATGACCTTCGATTTTTTTTCTCTTTTATTTCTTCACAGATATCTTCTACTCTTTTATACCCTCCTCCTGGTTTAGCTTAATTCAGTGGTTCTTAACTGTGGGGTGGGGAGCCTGGTTCTACAGGCAGGCCGCTAGTGAGTAGAAGCTGGAGACGCTACTGAACATTGTACAATGCACTGGACATCACTCAAAAGAGTTACCTGGCCCCAGATGTTAATAGGCCGGGGTGGAGATACTGAGACCTAACCAAATTCTCCATCCCACTTCCTAAAAATCACTGCCACGGTGGTCTTGCCAATGACTGGATTCTGCTTTAATAATTTATGACTATCTGAACAGTAAAGTGTAGACTTGTTGGCACGGCATTCAGGCTCTTCCATCTGAAATGCAAGTGCCAAATATGACACACGCTAGTGTGGAGTGTCCCATTCTAGAGCCAAAATGAACCATTTGCATTTGCTCAAACTTTCTTCCTTCCTCTGTGACTTTAGATGATCTTTCTGACCCTTGGACCTCATCTGTAAAATACTGATAATAACAAAATCTCACTTAGGGCTAAATGAGTTCATATGTGTTCTATTTGCTGTCTTTTATATATATCCTACTAAAATATATTTTATATATTCTACAATGTATTTTGGGTTTTGTTTTTTTTTTTAAGGTTTCGTTTATTAGAGAGCATGTGAGGGGAGGAACAGAGGAAGAGGGACAAGCAGACTCTGCACTGAGCATGGAGCCCTACTTGAGGCTCCATCTCACAACCCAAGATCATGACCTAAGCCGAAACTCAGGTGCTCAAAGGAGGTGCCACCCAGGTGCCCCAGGCCTGTGCCTTAACTTACCTTTGAATTCTCTCATACATTAAAATTGCATGAAATTTCAGGGGTGCTTGAATGGCTCGGTTGGTTAGGTGTCCAACTCTTGGTGTCAGCTCAGATCATGATCTCATGGGTGGTGAGATGGAGTCCCCTGTGGGTCTCCACGCTCATCAAAGAGTCTTCTTGATAGTCTCTCTCTTTACCCCTACCCCACTTTTGCAAGTGCTCTCTCAAAATTTTTTTAAAGATTTTATTTATTTATTTGAGAGAACATGAGCAGGGAGAAGGGGTAGAGGGAGAAGCAGACTCCCTACTGAGCAGGGAGCCCTTTGTGAGACTCAATCCCAGGATCCTGGGATCTTGACCTGAGCCAAAGGCAGACACTTGAGTCACTGAGTCACCCAGGTGCCATTGAACAAATCTTTAAAAATTGCATGAAATGTCATATTTTCTAGCCTGTAACTGGAAGGGGTAAAAACTCGTTTGACTGCATGATTTCATGCTCCCATAACACTGCTGAGATGGGATTTCCCCATTCAGATTTTTTAAGGCTTCAAAATATATATTTATTTTGCTATAAAATATTTATGTGTTGAGGAATATCTTGAACACCTAAGTATGATGCTTATATTAAAACAACACTCCTGGGATCCCTGGGTGGCACAGCGGTTTAGTGCCTGCCTTTGGCCCAGGGCGCGATCCTGGAGACCCAGGATCAAATCCCACGTCTGGCTCCCGGTGCATGGAGCCTGCTTCTCCCTCTGCCTGTGTCTCTGTCTCTCTCTGTGACTATCATAAATAAATAAAAATTAAAAAAAATAAAACACTCCTTATTGTCTCAAATATAAAATAAAATAGCTATTGGATATGGTTTGATTATCTTCTAATTTCCTCACAACTTTGGTTTTGATACTAACCAAAATATATAAACAAATCTTTGTTTTTAAGAAAATAATAAAATCAGAAATTAGGTCAGTCTTGAACAAGAATGTTTTTGTAATTCACATCATAAAGACTTAGTTTGGGGCGGCCCCCATGGCACAGCGGTTTAGCGCCTCCTGCAGCACGGGGTGTGATCCTGGAGACCCCGGGATCAAGTCCCATGTTAGGCTTCCTGCATGGAGCCTGCTTCTCCCTCTGCCTGTTTTTCTGCCTCTCGCTCTCTCTGAATAAATAAATAAAGCTTTAAAAAAATTACTAAAAAAAAAAAAAAAAGACTTAGTTTGATGTACATTAATGTACTCTAAATCTATTCCATTTTTATTTATTATCTTGCCCCTTTCTAAATTACATTGTACAAGTGCTAAATGAGGTACCGTATTCTCTCCTCTACCACCATACAAGTTTTTTATTAGGTTTCATTATTTTTATTGTGCAATTTTAGCAAATCATATTGATTGTACCTACTTTTATGCTTACTTAGACTTAATTTTTTTAAATCAGTCGTGTAATATGTACCCCCTTTTGCTTTTTCAGATTTATGGACAAGAAATTATCATGTAAGTTTCTTGGGTTTTTTGTTTTTTAATTAGTTGCTTTCTACATGTGTCTTGGCAGTATATAACGTTTGGAGCAACTTCATAAGAATTTAAATCATACAGAACCTCTAATTCACATCCATTAATCAGGTTTATCAAAAACTATATGCAGACAATTTTATTTGCCTAATTTCTGATATGTAACAGATTGCACACATACTGTAGACTTTTCATTATTTTCTATAAGCCTTCCCTCACGTAGACAAAATTAATGGGATTTTCCTCTTTTGTGATATTCAAAAGTATATCACCCTTTTTTATCTTTTAAAGCACAGGACTTTGACCAAGGCTAAAAATCTGACCTGTACAGTACCTGAAATATATAGGGGTTAAGACCCAGGCTTCAGAGCAAGCATCCTTCCCTTTGAATCCAGCCCTAGCCCACAGTACCTGTATAACCTTGAACCAGTTTCTTAAGAAGCTCTATACTTCAGTTCCCTTGTGAAAAGTTAGAATAATTCTATTTGACAGGATTTTTGTAAGTTTATTTTAGTTTTTACCCTTTCTTTTTTTCTAATTTTAATTCCAAAATAGTTAACGTACAGTGTTGTATTAGTTTCAGGTTTACAATATAGCGATTCAGCACGTCCATACAACAGCTGGTGCTCATCACAACACTGCACTCTTTACTCCCCATCCCCCCCACTTGGGTTTTTATGTTTAAATATGGAAGTAAATGTGAAATGTTTAGCCCACTGCTTGGCATATAGTAAGGATAGAGGCTTATATATCTCAAGTACCTGGGTTTTATTCCACCTGATTCTTAATAGTTGATACTTAATGCTCAGTTTTATTAAACTACTTTTTCCCTTTTTATAGTGAAATTAAATGGTGGCAGACATGTCCAAGGAATATTGCGAGGGTTCGATCCGTTCATGAATCTTGTGATAGATGAATGTGTGGAGATGGCAACTAGCGGGCAACAGAACAATATTGGAATGGTGGTAAGTAAGGATGGAAGGTTTCTCTTAGAGATTTCATATTTTGAAATAAGGATTAATTTCTCTTCTATTAAATTCTTTTCTTAAATTGGAATTAGACAGATTGGGCAGCCTGGGTGGCTCAGCGGTTTAGCGCCGCCTTCGGCCCGGGGGCATGATTCTGGAGACCCGGGATGAGTCCCATGTCAGGCTCCCTGCATGGAGCCTGCTTCTCCCTCTGCCTGTGTCTCTGCCTCTCTCTCTTTCTCTCTCTGTGTGTCTCTCATGAATAAATAAATAAAATCTTTAAAAAAAAATTGGGCAGATAAGCAAGATAGATTTTCCATCTCCCTTTTACTTTAAAATATGGCAGCCGTTCAACTCTGGTAGCATCCCAGTTATCAGTAGGTTAGATCTGAATCTTATGCAGAATCCTCTGAAATAGCTGTAGAAAGTATTTTTGAGCTTTATAATAGAGGTCCATAGTCAGTCCTTCATTATGCTCGATTTTAACATGCTTAGGAGTTCCCAGAAGATCTTACTAAAATGCAGATCCCATCTAACTATGTGGGATGCAAATCTGCTAGTCCACCTTTATACCTTTTGATTTTAGCTGTGTGTATAATTAACCCAGATTTTCTGGTTTTTCCGCACTCAAATTTAAAAGTGGCCAAAGTAAAAGTTTCAAGGGATGATCGCAGGGGTAGCCATTGATGTGAAAGAAAATAAGAAAAAAGCAAATGCTGGGTTAATTATAGGAGCAAACATTTCTACATTCATTAGACCATGGTGGTATGACTACTGAGAAAGGTTTTGATGTTTATCAACAAGACGCAGGCTTTGGATCCCATTCTGACCACCGGAGGACAATATGCCCAGTAAGTTAGTAAATCTCAAGTTTCTTGGGAAACATAAATCAAAAAGGACCACTTGGCATTAGCAAATCACTGAGCATAAAGACCTCTAAAAGATGGTAAGAGTTCCTAATTCTTAGCCTTGATTTTTTTTTTTTTACCTCACAGTTTTTAATTACTCTTTCCAAAGTGTGTGTTATTGCTTCTTTCAAACACATTTTCATCTGAAAAGCAAATCAGTGACCTGGGCTGCAAAAACATCTTGGAATCAATCCCTAGATAAGAGATTCCCCTCCCCCAAGTTTTATGCAAATTGACCTTCCTTTCTCCTTGAGTTCTGTTGAAAATGAAAAAACTATAGGTAAATCAGTATCAGCTAGTTTGTTCTAAAAATGGTTTCTAAATACCCACCTACCCCCCACCCCCAGTATTTCTCTCTCGCCTTTCCTATTACAAATTCAGTAATTTTCATTGTGAGAGAGGGTAGACTGGATTTTTAGTTTATATATCAACAGACTTTGCTAAAGATTGAAGAAGGACTTTGATAACCAAAAGTCAGTTCTAATTTGAGAAGATAACTTCAGAGAATTACGTGACACTTTTTGGAATTTTGTCTGAGAAGCAACTGATCCTAAATCATGGGTTTTTCTTGAAATTTCCCCCCTAAATTTTAATGGGCTTGGTTTTTACACAGAAATTGGTTATGGGCACCTTCTTACTATGTAAGGCGGTTGGCTCTTCCACCTCTGATGCTTGTTGTGTGACCAAAAAAAGTTTGTATTAGTAGGCAGTAGTCCTTGCAGCTGAGTTAACACTTTGAAAATGAAATAATGGGGGGCTGCCTAGGTCGCTCAGTCAGTTAAGCATTTGGCTCAGGTCATGATCTCAGGGTCAAGAGATCAAGCCCCACCTCAGCCGCCCAGCTGAGCAAGGACTCTACTTCCGTCCCTCTGCCTGTCCACCTGCGCACATGAGCTCACGCTCTCGCACACGCTCTCTCTCTCTCTAATAAATATTTAAAGAAAATGAAACTGGTAACATATCAATTATCCTTAATAAAAAGACTTTTTGAGAGAACAGAGGGATGGGGCAGTGGGAGAGGGGGTGAATCTTAAGCAGGCTACATACCCAGCATGGGGCTCCCACAGAGCTCGATCTCAGGACCCTGGGATCATAACCTGAACCAAAATCAAGAATAGGACGCTTGACCAGCTGAGCCATGTAGATGCACCAATAAATAGACATTTTAAAGAAAATACAAGAATGGTTTCTCTGAGATTGGGAGAAACAAATAGGTTTCAGTCTTGTTTTCACAAGTTATTTGGCAAAGGAAACCATCACACTGGCTTTGTTACACCCTTGTCCAAGTCAGTGACCCATTGAGGCCATTGAAATGACTTCTTCTGTGAGTGGCGTTAAGAGTGCGTGTGTTCTGGGCGCCTGGGTGGCAGTCAGTCCAATGTCCCGCTCTTGTTTCGGCTCAGGTTGGGATCTCAGGGTTGTGAGACGGAGCATGTGTGTGGTTCCTTGCTCAACACAGACTCTGCGTAAGACCCCCTTTCCCTCTGCCCCTCTCACCTGCGTGCTCTCTCTAAAATAAATCTTTTTAAATAACGTGTTCTGAGGGGGAGAGAATTTGTATTAGGATCTGTCAGCTGCAGAGTTACCTAATGATAGATGTCTCAGCCTCTTTGAAGCATTCCCATAGCTGCCAGTGGCCTCCCCTTACTCTTCCTCTTACTCTTTTGCCATTCCACTCCACCCCAGAGTTCCCCTAAGAATATAGTAAAAATTCTATAGGAAGATGCTGCATAGTTCAGGAGTTCTTATTAGCTTTGTGGTCTGTTGCTCCATTTTAGGTACTGTGTTAGATAGCTGTGCCCTGTCAAAAGAGTAACAGCAGGGTATCTGGGTGGCTCAGGGGTTGGGGTCTGCCTTCAGCTCAGGGTGTGACCCCCGGGTCCTGGGATTGAGTCCCACGTCGGGCTCCCTGCGTGGAGCCTGCTTCTCCCTCTGCCTGTGTCTCTGTCTCCCTCTCTGTGTCTCTCATAAATAAATTAATGAAATCTTTTTAAAAATAAAAAGACTAAAAACCCAAGCAGTACTAGCACTGAAGCACAAAAGGGACAGTATGGAATTCTGGACCTGATAGTTCCAGTTTGATTTGGAGAATTAGGCCTAAACATGGTGAGAAAAGAGGAAGATTCATGTACAACAGAGGTATCCACCCACTAGCCTTACTTCGTGTATGATGATAGAAGGCAAAGAAGTATGTAACACCTAGTATTTTAGAAAATGATGAATGCGACACCATTATATTTTGTTTTTTAATAATTCCCCAAAAGGCCTCGGATCTGAAAATCTTCGTTTCCTGAAATAACTTCCCTGCCACACTCTCCTTCTAGGGAAAGAGTAGAAATGGACACGTAAGGGAGAGATAGGAAAGAAGGCTAGTAGTTTTTCATGCTTTGGTCAGTGGGACGTGTTGTTAACCATCTGTTGCAAGTAAGCCAGGAATTAAAACCCTGAGAACTAGGTAAGCCTGTTGTTTAGCTTTTTTTTTTTTTTCTTCTTTTTAAAGATTTTATTTATTCATGATAGCAAGAGGCAGAGACACAGGGAGAGGGAGAGAAGTCAGGCTCCTGGGAACCCGATGTAGGACTTGATCCCGGGTCCCCAGGATCACGCCCTGGGCCGAAGGCAGCACCAAACTGCTGAGCCACCCGGGCTGCCCTTTAGCTTTTTTCATTTCCGTCCCTAATGTAGAGAAAGAGAAGTCTGTAGGCTCCTTCAGTCCCCATCCTTGTTTTCAGGGCATTATTTATTCTCTTCGTGCTGCCCTTGGCCGCCTCGTCATCATACTCCTTGCTGTTCGTCTCTGCCAGGCCCCACGACACTGCCCCCCCCTTTCCCTCTGTCAGCTGCAGTAAACATCGGGGTCATTTGTTCATTTAACAGGTGCTTCCTGAGCCCTCTGTGTGCCTGCCCCACTGTACGGCACTGGGAATATTGCCCCGCTCTCCTAGAAATGACAGTTGTGTGAGGAAGACAACAACAGTATACATGATATAATGAATGGAGGGGAGAAGGAGAGTGGGGTTTTGTCAGTTTTTTTACTCCAGCTGCCTGCAAGCATAGCTCACTCTGCTTCGAATCGTAAGCAGAATGCCTCCATTTCGAATATTTCACCTTTCCAGCTCTCCTTGACCTGCTCTGATTGCAGCAAGACCTGCGGTCTGCAGGGGCTCCTTAGGTTCAGTCCCTTGCCTTCTAGTCTGACTTATTTTTCTGCCATCTTGAGCTCGGTTACCAACCTTTCCACCTGTGCTCGTAAGTACCCTTCCTCACTACTCTGGGAGGCACTGTGGTCCTAGAGCTTTTTCTTTATCATTTCTTTCCCTGCCCCTAAGCTCTCCCATTCTTTTAATGCCAGAACAGTGGTTATTCCCTCAACTGTGAAACTTCGGTTTATTGTTGGTTTCATGATTTCTCCCAGTACATTAATATGGTGCTTGGAGCCTGGTACAGACTGTTTCCTCCTTCCTGTCATGATTTTCTACTACATTCAAATTAGATTCTTTCCTTATCCCCTTTTACTTTATCATCTCAATTTTGAGTTTGGTCTTCCTGTCAAAATTCTACCCCATTTTTAAGAACCAACTAAAATGCCATCTTCGCAAAGCATACTGTACAGAACTTCCATCCTAGTTTGTTCCCTAAGTGATCTTACACCACTAACCTGATGTTCCAAGTATTTTTCCCATTGACTTATGGATCCCTTGGGGCAGAGATGGGTATGTTACTTGACTTTAGAAGGTGAAATGAGGGCACCCGGTTGGCTCAGCGGCTTAGCACCGCCTTCAGCCCAGGGCCTGATCCTGGGGTCCCCGGGTCGAGTCCCGCATCGGGCTCCCTGCATGGAGCCTGCTTCTCCCTCTGCCTGTGTCTCCGCCTTTCTCTGTGTCTCATGAATAAATAAATAAAATCTTTAAAAAAAAAAAAAGTGAAATGAGTCATTGGAGACTTTACACCTCAAAGGGGTACTTGTTAGTCTTAAGTCTAAAAAGTATACATTTTATTAAAAGGGGGCTACTGGCTTCTTGTCATGGTTAAGATTTAATGTCCCTGTGGATTGGAAAACTCACAAACTGATCTTTAATACTAAAAAACCATAAATTTTGTGGAAATTCTTTCATCAATGTCTGTCAAATTGTGTTCTAATTTTTTCTTTTTAGGTAATACGAGGAAATAGCATCATCATGTTAGAAGCCTTGGAACGAGTATAAACAATGGACGTGTTCATCAGAAGAAGAAAACTCCTTCCACGTGTCCCCTGTCCATAGTACCTGTTTTACTACAATATAAAAATCAAAAAAAAAAAAAAATCAGGTCACCCGCATTTTCATATTGAACTTTTTTGTTAAATAAACTTTTATAATAGTCAAAATTGCTTTCTCAGACATTCTGAATGTAGACAATTGAGTATTCTTATTCTAATTTTTTCTAACATGAACTGTTCCTGGTTGAGACTGATTTGGTCCAAGGCTTTTATGCATTAGTATAGGAAAATCTGATTAAATATGAAGCATGACAAAAGATACCTTTTTTCCCATCTTTTAACCTGCAAACCTACAAGGTTTTTTTCTGAAACGCTAATTGTAATTTTCAAAACTCCTTATAGTAGCTTTGAGGTACTGACTTTATCCAAGTACATCTACATTCCAAGTACAGTGCAATTGAAAAAACACAGGAAGTAATAACACGGTTGTTTATTTTGAACATAAATGGGGAATTTAGAATACAAGAATAGAGCTCTAGAAAAAACATTCCAGTGTACTCTGGTTCTTTGGAGTATACAGGGTAGTAACGCTGTCCACAATACTTCACCTAGGTCACACATTTTATGGCACACAAACTCAGATGAGAGATAAGTTACAAATGGTTGTATCATAAGCCTAACTTCAAGAAATCTACAAAGCAAATGCTTATGCCCGTACTTTTTGTGATCTGGTAAGAAAGCCAGAAATCTTGAACCACTTTAAAACTGTAGAGAACGAGGTATACACAGGTGAACGTGCAAGGTACTTGGAAAACAACGCAATGGATGGCTTACGTGTGTCTCTAAAACATTTTCTGTCCAGAGGACGTGTTTACAGCCAGAGAATAGGGAGAGGGATCAAACCAACGTCATCACAGTGAGGAGAGTGGATGTCAAGTCCAGTACATTTTTATTCCATTCTTCTCCGGCGGCTCTTTAAATCTTCACTGGTGTCGACTGGCGTTATTTTTTGCAACCACACAGAGGAAGTTACAGAATCGGTTTTCCTAAGTGCAGTTCCTAGACCATCACCTAGGAATTTAAGATACTGGGATGCATATTTCCATCTACCATCTACCACTCCAAACCCACTGAAAGCACACTCTGGGGTGAGGCCCAGCAGTATTTTAAGAGCACTCCAGGTGATTCCGATGCATATCCAAGTTGGAGAACCACTGGAGTAAAACTGGTTTTCAGTCAGCTCCTGCATAATTTTTACCAGTCTCTTCTGTACAAAGATGAATAGCGTGGTCTACTGAAGTAACAGGCTCTGACAGCAATTTTCTTCCAATAAAAAAAAAAATCTTTAATCCTGTATCCATTAAATCTATTATGCCCGATCATCTGTTTTGCCCTGAAGCTGTTTCCGATGCCCTGATGGAAAACTTAAAAAAACTTAGAGTAGGTCTGATATAATGGCAACATCTTAAATTGGTGTTATTGTAAGTAAATAATATATCCCATTGCAAAAGTCTGAGTGATAGAAATTTTCATTACCAATTTTTATTTACCAATCTTTAGCATACAGAGAACACAGTATGACATTCTCTACAACATTGTCCTCATTAAAACCACAAAAGGAAAAATGTGACTGCTTCTTAACATACTTGTTAAGAATAAAATTTTTAAAAAGCTGACCCTTTGACAAAGTGTAATTTTAATCCCTGCCTTTACATCAAACGTATTTTTGGCAGTTTTATCAGCATAATAATATTCACAACTGTAGTAATCATTTTAAGAATCAGTGTTTTCTTACAGCATCTTGCTAAAGTAGCTACTGCAATAATCTTACGGACTTTCTTTTCCAACAATAGGTGTTAACTTTGTTACAGTTACTTTTAGAATTCACAAGCTTTTACTCAGTTCTGTCCTCCTAATGACTGACTGTAAGGACAGCCATTCATGATCTCTTTATCTGATACAGAACTGGTTCTGTATTAGAATCACTTGAGCTTTAAAATATTAGAGGTTATTCCGTGTGCAGCCGAAGTTGAGAACTGCCTTAGAAACAAGATTTCAGCAATCATTTTCTCACCCCAAATGCTAGTTTTAGAAGCATTTAACAGTTTGGACATTTGCTGGATTTGATCAAGTGTGGTATTCAGAGTCTCGTACTCCAGTGTCCACTGCTCTGGAATAATCCAAGTGGCCTGTTGTCAGACGGACCGTGCTTCCTGTCAAGATCACTACTGGAGTTCTCGTCGAGAGAAGTCCTCCTTCACAAAATGAATCTGCTTTGATAATGGACTAGGTTTCCTGGGACTTTTAAGGCACTGAAAACCCTTTGGAGAGGTCTTAAACCCCCGCATCAGTGATTCCCAACCCAGGTTGCACCTTAGGGACTTTTTAGCTACAATGCTGAGGTCCTATCCTCAGTCCGTTAAATCGTTAAATCGGGATCTCTGGTTGCAGGGTGGGGGAGGGGGTAGTCTATTGAAAATCGTTAAAGCTCCCTAGGTGAGGATTCGATGATAGAATGCCAATCTCTTAAATCAATCGCCTATGTATTTGCTTTCATTTTACTTGGGATTTTTGTGTGACAAAGTTAAACTAAGGCTTCTGAATCTCACCCCTAATAAAATCAAATTAAAATCAAAATCAACAAAAGAACATTCAGAAAGTCAAGGCTTCTGGCATGGGCACATCTACTTTGACAAAAAGGTATAAATTAACTAAAGCCAGGCATATGACCAGTTCCCATAGTCTTAACCATGTGACGAAGGTCACTGACCGCTGTGAAGCACAAGTGAACTAGTCCCCCACTAAATTCTTCAAGTGCTCAGCTTTAAATGATCTAAGGTTTTACTCAAATTCCAGGGCCCCCACCCCCAAGACCTAGTAAGTCAGAATCTCCAGAGGAGCTGGAGAACCCACATGTTTAACAAACTCCAGGCGACTCCATACTGTGATGGGTACTAAGAGAGTCCAGAAATTTTGGGGAGGGCATAAATGGAGTAGTTAACACCGTCACACTTCATTAGAAACTTGTATTTCCTCCTAACTCACTGGGTTTACTTTTGTTAAACAGACTAATTTATGGCAAAACATGATTCAAAAATCCTCTCTGCTCAGATTGTGTTCTTTTTTGCCAGAGACACTCCATTTGGAACCAGGACGGGGGGAAAGGTGACTGTTCTCTCACAGCTCAGTTTTGAGCTTCTCATATAAGTCCTCCTGGTCGATCATGTCCGTGTGGCCGTTCCAGCGGTGATAGGCGAGCAGCGCGGCATTGTGGGCCGCAATGGCACTCATCTCCATGGCGCTCGCTGCGCACTCGATGCCGTTGAGGTAGTAAAGTCTGTCATGGAGAACGATGGAGGGGCATTTCTCTGGAGGCCTATAGTGAGGATACGCAAGCCATGGCTGCTTCACGGCATAATCATAGGACAAAAAGAGCTTTAGTATTTGTTCTTTAGTGAGAATTTCTTGGGAAAAGATCTTCCAAACGTATCCCCTATCTCCTAATGGTTGAGGACGGTCATTTTCTGTTACAGAGGACACAATCCCAATGCTGTTAATGAACAAATCTGAATTATCGGTGGTTAAGATTGTACTGAGATCGAATTTGTCTAAGGCTCTAGAGCTAAAAAGGGTTGAATTCAACTGCCCCTTAATTAAAGTTGTCACTATATGTTGGTAATACTGATGGAATTCCTCAATTGGAGGATCAAAGTTGAGGAAAGTTATATTGGACATTTTTCGATTCAATGGAGTGGCCACCAAGACAATGTCGTAGAAGTCTGAACGGGTCTCAGATCCACTTTGGTAGATGACTTCATACATCTTTGCAGGATTTCCTAGAGGAAAGCATACATTTTAGTATTTCTAGCATACTATACACCTTCCCAAAATAATTTTATTACCTTAATAAGTTGATAAGGTATAAGATAGAGAATTCTAAAGAATCAAAAGTTTTACCCTTTTAATATAACTGCCAAATTGAGGCCAGTTTTCTACTGGAAGAGAAATAATACCTTGTCAAGAAGCACAAAATATGGAATGATACTTTCAAGAATCAGACTATTTTTATTTTTATTTTTTTAAATATTTTATTTATTCGTGAGAGACACAGAGAGAAAGAGAGAGGCAGAGACATAGGCAGAGGGAGAAGCAGGCTCCATGCGGGGAGCCCGATGGGGGACTCAATCCCGGGTCTCCAGGATCAGGCCCCGGGCTGAAAGCGGTGCTAAACCGCTGAGCCCCGGGCTGCCCCAAAATGAGATTATCTTTAAGTCGAGGGAGACGTGCTTCCGTACTTGGCACATCTGGGAATATCTGTGTAACCCCATCATTTGGAACTGGGAGACGACAGGAGAGTGGCTTTTCTCTCTGAGCAATGATTTTCCAGAGGGCAAATCAGGAACACCAAAATTTCAGGCTCACCTGTGTGCTTGGTCCTTGTTTTCTCCTCTATGAACAGAACTGAGCCAGCTATGAGGTTGCTTCGGGAGGCCCGGAGGAGCCCTGAACACACCAGCTTATTGCCACCTTGCACTGCCCACAGGCCGGAATCCGCACAGGACATGGACACTGCGCCTGTCCGGGGCGGGAAAAGTGCATTTGAGTTCTCACTCGAGGAAAGGTCCCTGCCCGTTCTCTTCCCAGCTTAGGGGAGCTCTGCTCCAAAGCTCACCAGACATTGCCAAGCACCCCTGGGGGCAAAATCTCTGGAGGCCACGGCCTCTCCCCACTGCAACGGCACAGACCCACCCAGGCACGACGTGAGACCCGACTGGGGTTTCAGAGCAGGTACCGTCCCCACGCCCTGGCCCCAAGTCAGGCCTCGACTTACCCACAAAGCCGTTGATGTTCATGCTTTGCCCGTAATTGACCCGCATGACGGGCGCGACAATCTCCTCGAGGAACTTCTCAGAGAAACCTGCTCTCTGCAGCGTTTCCAGGAGTGTCCGGTTAAGCATTCCCAGGAAGTCGTCCCCGCCCAGGGAGTGCAGCAGCCTCTCGACGCTGCTGAAGGCGAAGTCGTGGGACTGGTAGCGGTAGATCCTGTGGGAGAGAGCGGCCACTAGGCCCCGCAAGACTCGGCGTGCAGTCGGCAGCGCGCTCCTCGGGCCACCGGCCGGAGCCCCCCACCCCCAGGCCCCCACCGGCTCCTCTGCATCCACAGGTCACCACCTCACCTTGAAGGAGTCACCGTGTCCTACGTCCTGTTCTCATTCCGCGTGTCCCCCCAGCAGCAGTCAGACACATCTAAGGTACCCAGCCACCAGACGAGGCCCTCCCCACCCACCCCCATCCAACCGAAGCGTAGGTTGGGGGGTCGGTTCACTCCTAGCATCCGACACGCCACCCTCAGCTCATTTAATTTCAAACTTCAATATTTTCACTTCTGCTTCTCCCACCAAAGAAGCAAACCCTGGCAGTCTTTCCAGTCTTCCTAACATCTCTCCTGCTACTTCACTCTCATTTCCCAGATCTTAACTCAGGATTTATATTCAAACAACTCAAATGAATAACTGATTACCTCTCTCCGGTTTCTTTTTTTTTAAACATTTATGAGTCTCCCAGAAACCCTAAAATACATCTCTAGTCCTTACTGAGTTATGCAAAAACAACTTATTGCTGCTTACTACATAAACTGCTGACCTTCAGGGAATTTCAGAGTCTAACTCAAGTCTAACTCCTCTGCTTTAACTACAAATAGAGAAACAAGTAAGAGGGCCTAAAAGCCCCGTGACAAGTACAAGTCTCCAGCACCAGCTGCCCCCCGGCCTCAACCACACACCCACCCTCCACGTGTACACGCCTGACCCGCTCACTGACCCCTGAACATGCTGTGCATGGCTCCCCGACGCTGCACCACCTCCTCTCCAGCTACAATACACTTAGAGCTTGAGCCCCACCTCCCCTGCAAAGTTGCCCAACTATTGCTTAATTTTTAGAAAATACCACCTGACATTTTCCTGAACTTCATGGACTTAAAGAAATATCCATGTGCAGTAATTCAATATGTAATTTTTCAAGTTGCAAGTGATAAAAACAATTGAGAACGATATGAGTCCTTTCCCTCCACATGCTTGCCATTGGTGACAAGTAATAAGGCACATACGCAGGTCAGTATATGAAGCAAAGAAAAAAATAATGCCAGAGACGGATCTTATCAGTGATCCCGGGGAGGGGGGGGTTACACCAACTTTCTTCTCTCCCGGTTGTAATTTTGAGCAGGGACAGTGCCACAGCCGCTTCAGTATTACCTACTAACAGTGCAGTGTCCAAAGCACTGAATACATTTTTGTGGGGAAAACATATCAGTGCCCAAACTGAGAAACTAAAATAACTCCTTCAACCATATCAAATGGTTTTTAGTCCCTCGGGAGTCTTAAAAAGCAGAGAACGAAAACACTGAGTTCTTTAGGAAGTAGACTGAATATCTCATAAAATATAGACTGACCTTTGGCTAATGGTCAGCAAGACAAAACAGTAGCCAATTAAGTGACATACAGCGTATCACAGAAACGAGTCCGTGCCACTTCCTGCCTGCGACCCTGCCCCACTCAAGCCTCCAGCAAAGGCCTCCCAAACCGGAGACAACGGAGGCTGTATGAACAGTGAGCCCTGCAGCTGTTTTACAATACTAGTTGCATTAGTACATATTTGCTAAAAAGCTAGATATGTAAAGAAAAAAAAAAAGCTAGATGTGTATTTCTATGAATAAAGCTGCTTTCCAGCCCTTTTTTTTTCTAATTTTTCAAAAGATTTTATTTATTTCTTTGACAGAGACAAGGAGAGTGAATGAGACCACAAGCAACGAGGGGGAGGGGTGGAGGAGGAGGGAAAGCAGTCTCCCCACCGGCCAGGGAGGGCTGCTGCGGAGGGGGCTCCAGCTCAGGAATGCGGATCGGACCGGATCAGGACTGGAGCCAAAGGCAGACACAACTGACTGAGCCACCCAGGTGCCTCTTTTTTTTCTTTTTCTTTTTAAACTACATTTGGATAACGTTAACATTTATTCCTTAAACAAATATTTATGGAGCATGAACTGTGAGCCAGGTATTCCAGGTGCCAACGATACAGAGGTCAACACAACAGAGAAAAAAATCCCTGATGGAGCTAGTGTTCTAGTTGGGGAAACAGGTAGTAAAAAAATTAATGTGAGTAAATTTAGAAGTTTAGAGGATAATAAATGTTAAGGAGAAAATAAAAAAGCCTGAGAAAGCTTAGAGTTGCCAGAGTCTCAACTCTAAATAAGATGGTCCCCAAAAACAGAATGGTCAAAGAAAGCCTCACTAAGAAGAGAACATCTGAGCAGAGACCTGAAGGAGGTGAGCGCTGCAGTATCCAGAGGAGACAATATTTCAGATAGAGGTAAGAGCGGTGCAAGAACCTGACGACAAAGCAGGCCTGGTGTGCTCAGAGAACCATGAGGCCAGTGCAGCTCACGCAGATCCAGGACAGCAGGAGGAGGCACAGTCAGATGGGGGGGCAGGCAGTGAGACATGAAACACTTCTGGAAGAGTGGAGCAAGGAACACTGGCAAAAGTCAACATCAACTTTCGCAACACTGAAAATAAGCCAAAGACTTGTCAAAATCCCAGGAGTATTTTCTCCAGAGAGATGGCTGAATCTCAGTAGGAACAATGAGTCCTGTGGCATCTTAACCTACACCTTATCCCCGTCCCCACTTGCCAGCAAGGTAGCCTTCCAAACCAGCACTTGTAACCGTAACACCTGTGAAGCCTGCAACCTGGCAGCCACCAGAGACGGTAGGACAGGTCTGCGGATCCTTCAGTGCCCACCCCAGGGAAGTGCCATTGGACCTAGCTGGCAGCTCACTGAAAACCTCTACCCTCGGGGCTTGTCTCTACAGACCTGATTCAGAGCTGGCTCTGTACAAACAGCCCATCCCCAGGGCATTTGTCCCAAAATAATCACTGGCAATTTAAAATCACAGCTACTGGGGCGCCTGCGTGGCTCAGTGGTGGAGCGTCTGCCTCCAGTGCAGGGCGTGACCCCGAGGTCCCAGGATTGAGTCCCACATCGGGCTCCCTGCATGGAGCCTGCTTCTCCTTCTGCCTGTGTCTCTGCCTCTCTCTTTGTGTCTCTCATGAGTAAATAAATAAAATCTTTAAAAGTAATAATAATAAAGTACTAGAGCAAGTATGTGAACAATGTCTCCCCAACTATCAAGACTTGAACTATTTTTTAAATTCTAGAGTTGAGGGATCCCTGGGTGGCGCAGCGGTTTAGCGCCTGCCTTTGGCCCAGGGCGCGATCCTGGAGACCCGGGATCGAGTCCCACGTCGGGCTCCCGGTGTATGGGGCCTGCTTCTCCCTCTGCCTGTGTCTCTGCCTCTCTCTCTCTCACTGTGTGCCTATCATAAATAAATAAAACAAAAAAATTAAAAAAAAAAAAAATTCTAGAGTTGAAAAGTATCATATCTGAAATTGAAAATTTCCTAAAGAGGCTCCATAGCAGATTTGAAATAGGAGAAAAGGGATGCCTGGGTGGCTCAGTGGTTGAGCATCTGCCTTCAGCCCAGGGTGTGATCCTGGAGACCCGGGATCGAGTCCCATGTCGGGCTCCCTGCATGAAGCCTGCTTCTCCCTCTGCCTGTGTCTCTGCCTCTCTCTCTGTGTCTCTCATAAATAAATAAATAAAATCTTTAAAAAAAAAATGAAATAGGAGAAAAATCAATGAACTTAAAGATACACATAAACTGAAATTATACACTCTAAGAAACAAAGAAAACAGATAAAAATGAGCAGAGTATCAGAGAACTGTGGGACGATATAAAGCATACCCACATACACATAACGGGAATGTAGAAGAAGAGGCAGGAAAAAAGGGTAGGGTGGACAAAAATACTTGAAGAAATAATGGCCAAACTTCTAGAAACTTCAAATCTGGCCAAACTTCCCACATTTGAAAGAAAACATTAGCCTGCATGTCCAGGAAGCTAAATCTAAGCAGGATGAATTTAAAAGATTCACACCCAAATATATAATAGACTGGAAAGATAAAGAATACTGAAAGCAACAAGACAAAAGTAACTAATCCAGAAAAAGGGAACTTTAATAAGATAAACAGCAGACGACTACTCAGAAACTATAAAGGCGGAATGTAGTGGATGACATATTCAAAATGCTGAAAGAAAAGTCTATCAACCAAGTGTTCTATATCCAGCAAAACTATCCTTCAGAAAAGAAGAGAGATTAAAATAATCCCAGATAAACAAAAACACAGAATCCAATACTGCTAGGCCTTCTCTACAAGAAATTAGTTTAGAGAAAGACCTTCAGGCTGAAATATGCTAAACAGAAACTCAAATCATCATCAGGAAATGAAGAGCACTGGTAAAAGTAACTGCATCAGTAAATATAAAGGTACGTATGTTTACCATTCTTTTCTCCTATCTTACTTAAAAGACAAGTGCATAACACAGTAATTAGAAAACTAATGACCAGCATGCCTGGGTGGCTCTGCGTTTTGGTGCCTGCCTTTGGCCCAGGGCGTGATCTTGCAGTCCTGGGATCGAGTCCCATGTCGGGCTCCCTGCATGGAGCCTGCTTCTCCCTCTGCCTGTGTTTCTGCCTCTCCCTCTGTCTCTCTCATGAATTAAAAAAAAAAAAAAAAAAAAGAATAAAAATAAAAATAAATAAGAATAAAAATAAAATAATAAAGTAAAATATAGAACAAGAAAACTAAGGAGAAAACATGTTACAGAGAAAACTCTCTGTAACATATAAAAATAACTTGTATGGCAACAGTACAAAGGATAGTGTGGTTAGTATTAATACACCATTAACATTGTTTTAAAGATTCTCTCTCCTCTCCCCAGCCCTCCCCTGCTCACGTGTACACACACACTGTCTCAAGAAAAAAAGATAACCAAAAATATATACTAGAAGAAATGAGAATTAAAACTGCACACTAGAAAAAAAATAAACAAAAAAATAAAAAAATAAAAAAAACTGCACACTAGAAAAAAAAATTTTAAGATTTAATTTATTTATTTATTTACTTATTTATTCATGAGAGACACGGG